GCGCCCCCTGGAGGAAATGGAGCCTGGCCCGCAACTTCGAGATGTCATCTTCCCGCAATGGGAACATGACTCATCCACGAACGCCACCTCAGCGTGTTTAATGCCCAGACATGTGAGGCAGCGATCGTGACCATCACCCGGCGCCAGGTAACGACCGCATCCAGAAACGCATAGGTGAAACGGCATCTTTAAAAAGATGATCCGTCATCTTTACAATGACACACCCGTGTAAGCTCTTTTAGAGAAATAAGCTCTTTCAGGGGCCTGGTGCCAGATGTTCCGCCACGTCTGGCTGACGAGGGGATGGAGGAGCTCAACAGGGTCTACAGTACTGACTCTCTGGAGTGGTTTTAGCAAGCCGACACTAACCGGGGCCTCTCAGTGCCTCTACCCGTTTGAGGTGAGAACACAGGAGGATAAGTAGATTGGTCTCTCTAAGCGAGATCCCAATTCGCCGGTCACCGACGTGATGTCGAGAGTGACCGACTGAAAGGGAACAGCATGTGGTTTCTGAATTTTACTCTGAAATTTGGTGAAAGATTTACTTTGAAACTATTTTCATTCTGAAATTGTTAGTAAATTTTACAAATAAGTAGGCCACAAAGAAATGGCAAGTAACACACTGAATTAAACATTACATTTTGAAGTAGCTATTTTATGCAAAAAATTATATACAGTGCATTTTGAAAAATGTGCATATTCATATGCTTGTATTTTTTATTAAGTGTTGTTGCATTAGTTGCATTCCAGGATTTGCCTGGCAAAAAAGGTGAGCAAGAAATGCTAAATGGATAAACAATTAAAGTTGATCAATAAGTGCCAAGGAATATTGAAAAACAGGTGTTAGTTTGAAAAATATCCTTAGCCCAAATAAAATCATTATTGTTTTCTAACTGCAATTCCTCTACAGTCTAAACATTTGATTGACTTCGATTAAGAAATGGGACTGTACTTCAGCTTCAGTCCAGGTCTAGCATAGTTACTGCCTCTCTGTTTAACATTGTTGTCTCAGGATGTGAAGCGATGCTTGACACACTTAGCCTGTCCTTCATCCTCCACGTTTTAATGATTAGCCGAAGATATCGGATATGAAAGATACAGCATCGCCCTCGGAGCCCCAATTTCTATATTAACTGGCAGCATGCTGCTCCATTTTCAACAATCTAGGTTGATGTGTACTGGAGGAAACCGATGGCACTCTTAAAACGAGTGCCAAGAACTTGTGGCTGGCAAATGAAGCGAGGAACAGAGAGTTTCTGCACAAGTCATCCCATAATAAGTCTATACACTTGCACATGTCAGATATAAGAATCAGATTATT